ACACACACACACACACACACACACACACACACACACACACACACACAGGCTGTGTATGTAGCTATGTACTAGTTCTGAAATAAAATATAATTTAAGTCGCCCTCACTGTCAGTGTTTTATTTTAAACCGATTTTAAAAAAAGGAAGGAAGCTGGTTGTTAATTCGTATGTGTTTCTTTTGTGTGAATGTTACGCGATTACTACGGGATTTGAAGAATTGAGATGTCGTCCCTTAGGTGTTCTACGATTTCCGAACCATACCACAAATTTATTTCAACATTGTTATCAAAACTAGGGGACTACTCTCGAAAGACGAAATCTATGATTAGCGCATTTGCGCACAACATCCGATTAGTATTCGTCCCGAATCAAGACCCCGATCCAGAACTCTTCGATATCTTAACCCATCGAGTATATAACCAGAAATAGAGACCTTATCATTACTGTGACAACTGCGCTCCGATTGGCTGGCCCGAGTTCGAAACAATTGACGGGCGTCGTCAACTGTTTCACTTCAAATCGACCAGTTAACTTGAGCTTTGCTATAATGGACCAAAATTGCAAAATTACATATTTAATTACCGATGAAATGTGATTCCGTTTGTTTTGTAATTAGATGTTTTGCTGTTTTTCCCACATCACCGAATGGAACAGCACGGCATTGTTAGAGATATTATCTTTATTACAATAAATACAGAATATTTTTTGGAATATACGGAGACGTACACACAGGTCAGTAATTGGCCTGTCTATATTTCAGTGGAAACGAGAGTTGATATTTATAAGAGCTGTATCGCTAATGTGTTACCAAGAATATATGGCGCTTATTTCGTCTCTATTTCTGGTTATATACTCGATGTCTTAACCGAATCGTTCGATTGGACATCGTTTTTGAATCGCTTTTGGAGCTATTTAGAATATATCGTTATCCAACTACGTTTATGAAGTTAGTCGGCGAATATAGATTATAAGAAAAAGGAAAGCCTTTTATATACATTTTTAAGACTTTAAAGGCCTAAAATATAGGAATGCATTAGTCTTGCATTAAAATATATTAATAAAACTGAACAAAATCCAGGCTTTATTTAAAATAATAAGAGATTTCCATATTACATTATTGCTTTGTAAACAATATGATATTCGGTAATTTCGGTAATTTTTTTGTTTGTAAATTGTATGTGTGCTGTGCTTTACATTGAATAAATAATTTCTATTCTATTCTATTCTATTCTAATTTTCATTCGATAACTGTGTTTTGAATAACGTTTCTAGCCTTTGCCGCGGTCGAGAAGTTAGTTGTCGTAAGGGAGTGGCGTCATTTCGGTTCCGTTTCGAATACGACAATTTGACGTTCAATTCGATTATTGTGGAGAAAAATGAAGACCTGCTGAAACTACAAATCTAGAAAACTTGGACCTACTTCAGATGTCGCTTATGCGTATATCGCTTGTACCTACACCTAGAGATAAAATCAATGCCTC